TGCTGAACTAAAATAAACTCCAGATTGTCAAGTTTTAAAGCAGACCTCAGAACACAGAGAGAAGGAAATAAAACTCAGGAAACAGACCAGTTTATTTAGAACTACTTCTTTCAAGACAGCTGTCTGAATTAAGGCAATGCATGACATCTCCTTGAGCAGTCAGGCTGTTGACAGTCATGAGAGAGCTAAACTGCACCTCCCGTGTTGAATCATCTGAAGGATAGTAAGGAAAGGGTCTTGGTTCTAGTAGCTTTATTTGATGGTATGTTTTGAAGCAGGTTTTTTCTGAGCTGTTATTGATCCGTAAATAAACTCTAGTGTCTTTGGCAGGGTTGTGGTCCTGCATCAGAGGGCTGTTCAGGAAGAACCTGCTTTCTGGAGCAGGAGCAAGCTGAACCTGCGGGGACACGCTGGGCGCAGAGGACAGCCAATGGGAGAGTCGCTCTGCAGGAACCACTGGTGCCCACACTGGCACCAGTTCAGGCATGGTTCTGCCAAATTCCAGCCCAGCTGCTCAGGCTGGTGCTGGTGCCAGGTTTTGTCTCTCAACAGGTGTAACGCAGCTTTAGGTGTGGTCAGTTGAGTTTGCTTGTAGGTGAAAGGAGGGGATAGGTTCAGGTGGCATGACTGGAGTTCCCCCCTAACAAAAACAAGGGCTGTTGGCAGCTCAGCGTCTGGGAATCACAAGAAAAGCCTCTGTTACTGCAGTTTAGTTGGTTACATGCATGAATTGTGACAGACATTACCTGATGCCAGAATTTAGAAAGAAAAAACTTAGTCCTTAAATTACTCTGACCTGATTCTGTTCTTCAAGGAGCTGTGCTGTTTGAAGCCTTTTACACCAATGTCTGATAGGTGTGAAGATCAAGGAGAATCAAGCGAAGGAACACAAGCCCATTTGCTAGCTGTGGCTTTTCAAAAAGACTTCTTGAAGATGTACCCTTTCTCATCCTGTCATCACTAAGTCGTAAAAGCAAACAACTGGTTGTGAAGAAAAGTACTGCTGCTACTGAAAGCAGTACGCAAATTCCAATGACTGCAGATTGCACAGACTAAACCCTATTTTAAGTTATATATTCTCAGCTGAACTATACTATCTGAAAGGTGGATAGAGGACAAGAGTGCTTTTTCAGGAAATTCTGCCATGCAGAAGGTGTATTTGTGATTGCTGCGACTGTTGCAACACCTTCCCCTAAACAGGTTTTTCAAAAGGGGAAGGTTTTGATGATGAGATTACAACAGCTTTGTGGGCATGAGACTCAGTAACAGTCACAGGAAAATCCCTATTTTTTTTATCCCTTATTCCTATGAGAAGTTCTTGCTCAATCAGGAAGTCTCATAAAAAAAATGGAGAACATGAACAAGAGAACAAGGATTAGTTATATGAGTAATGCTGCAGACATAGGTTGCAATATACTTTTTTCCTAGAACGTGGCTTATTCAGCTAGCATCACTGTCTGGAATCATGTTAGAAAGCTTCCACGCCTCTGTCTGTCTTTTGAAGGGAGGGCACTAAGCTAAGGAAAAGGAACAGTTTTAACAGGCAGAACAGAACCGCAATAGTCTCTTTGTGCAAGCAAGTGGCCGTATAAGAACTTAAAAATAAGGAATTGGCAAAAGGGATTGATTAATCTGCTAGCATTACTCAGAATTTTCTGATATTACTGTGGTATCTCACACCCACATCCAAGGGATGTGAATGAGATGTTCCTCAAGAGCCACCAGCTCTCATTTGGATGTAAAGCTGCTGCTTCAGATAAACTGGAGTGAAATTTTAGCAAGGATAACTCCCATCCCTCCTGAGAGTGTACTAGTTTGACTCACAGCATTACCCGCCACATGCCTGCCGTCACCATATGAGACACGCTGTATGCCAATTGTTTTTCGTCTTTTTCTGTCTACCATTCAGCTCCCAGCCGAGGAGTTGCCATCAGGATGGTGCAGATATACTTTCAAAGTCTAGGGGTATTTTAACGCTACACTCACAAACAAAACTGTCTGTCATATTAATTCCTTCCCCATCACTGACAAAATGGATGAATACGTAAGCAATCTTCATCCTGCTTGGAGACAGCTGAGGGGAGTCTGATTCTTTGCACTTAGACAGACACAACACACGACTGTGTCCAAAACACTTAAAATCATGGCTGGCATGCAGCTGGGTGAATCCTTGGAACAGTAAGCACAAGCTAGAACACAGCGTCATCTCCCATGGATTCCCAATTTCTGTGTCAGATTAGCAGCAACAAGAGAAAAAAAGCCTCACTCAAAGGCACTGGGATGAAGTTGCTGATGCTGCCATATGCCTGTGCTTGATGGGAAGCTGCCGGAGGCCCTGTAGTTCCGCGATCTGCCCGTTCAGATCAGAGATCTGTGTTTGTGGGCTTGTACAGGAGACTGTGGGCTACCCCCTCTAATAATCAACTACCTCGTATTCATGCTGATGCAAAAGTTCGTCTAGTTTTGCAACAGGCAGCGGTAGCATGCTGTGTACCCAATGTCCCTTTCAGGCTGGCACAAGACCAAACGTGATGTGGTGCTCCTTTCTTCCCCCCTCTCTGGGACACATGACCCACCACTGGTCCCCATTCTGCAGGCTTCTTGCAGAAACCAGGAATGAAAGCAGTTCTGCCCTGGCACTTTCCCTGCAACCCCCCAGTTCCCCTTACACCCCGTGCCTGCCAAGCACCACTCGTGATCTCTTTGGAGGGATGTACCCGACCACGGTACATCCCAGAGGTGGGGCCGTACTGTCTGAGGGTGGCTGGGTGAATTTTGTGCTGGCCAGAATGAGGGTGGGGAAGAGAGGTGCATTACTGTGGCTAATGGCTGGCAGGGCTGCTAACCACCTTGCGCTCCGTGTAAGGGCAACCGCCTCCAAACTTGTTGGTGTTGCTCTCTGCAGTGACAGGAACCAAACAATTGCTGAGCATGGCACCACTGCGACCTCGTTGGCATTTTGGGGGAGAGAAAGGAACCACGAGTTAGGGTCTTTTCATGGAAGCTTAGAAGAGCTGCTCTAGCATAACAGGTCTGCAGCCTTGCTCAGTCGCCAGAACATAACTGGGCACTTGTACAGGGCAGGGCATGACTGGGTGGTTTCTGTCACAGCCAGTTGCTGCACGGGAGCTTTCTCTTGCAGCTCATAGCCTGAGGGGGATTGCTAAGCATTTGACAGCCATTACATTGGGACGGACAATACTCATTGCATCTCTGCAAGACTGAGGCCGCTACCCCAGACAAGTGATTCCCCCAGTAGTCTAGTGTGTCCCCGCACTTCCCTGCCGTATGTGCGTCTGAGATGGAGACACGGGTACTGGGATGAAGTTATTGATGCTGGGCTTGGGGTGAGGTGGAAAAAGCAGTGTGTCTGGATGTGAATGTCCTCATGCAGGGTTTTTTGCGGTATTCAGGAGCAAGGATCCTGGATGAATTGTAGAACCTGCAATCTCCTGCACTTACCATCAGAGAAGCAGAGCACTGGGAAAGGGGAACATTGAAAAACAGGTGAAGTTCAGCGTGGAGGAAATGGCAAGAGATGGAGAGTAAGGAAATAATATTGAGGCAGGAAAAACGTAGAGCTAAGGAAGGACCAACCAAAATGGCATGCTGGTAGGAGACAGCAATGTCGGAAGAGCAGGTATCACCTAGCTACTTAAGCAACATGAGCCTTTGACTTTTCGGAGTCTTCTGCTGGCACATTGTTGCTGGTGCGCGCTCTAAGAGCAGCACTGTGCTTGACAGCAGTGCAGGCTGTTCCCTGATTGTCCCCCTTAGTGGCTGCAGTGCACTAGATGTCTTGCCAACGCACATCTCTGGTTTGGCTCCACCAGAGAAGGAATCCAGCCCTCACGCACTAAGATCATTATCTGAATAAAGCTAGTGTGCAGTAGGAGGGTAACAGCTGGAAGGAAAGCACTGCAGAAGCACACTTCTGACCCCAGCTAAAACGTTAATTGTGTAACTGCAACCAGCAAAGCAAACATGTCTGTGCAAAGCCTGTGTCCAGAGCTCTGTGCTTTGTCTGTGCAGCAACGCCGTTCCCTTTGGAGGCACACTGGCTAGTTGTGTGGCAGCGATTCCACAACCATTTCCTTCAGTGACAACGCCACATGAAGCATGTTCTTGAAGTTCTTGCTTCTCTTGTTCATGGCTCTGCACAGTCCTCTTAGTTGTGCTGATGCAATTTCCGTGGAGTCACAGAGTGAACCCTGGGGGCACAGCACCCTGCCAGGAATAATTCTTCCCCAAAAGCATCAGAGTGCAGGTGCAAAACTCAATTTCCCCTGGTGGCAGGTAGGTTTCTTGTTACGCCTAGACTGCTGGTAGTATTTGGCCAGCTTGGATATCACAATGCAGCACTCCACTATGCCTTTCCAGCGTGCTCCCAGAAGAGCCATTCCCAAACCTCTCTGCTTCTTCACCCAATTTCTAGAGTGTTCACTGCAGTTCACTTTTAAATCCAGCTGTAGCCCTGGCTCCAGATGTAGCAACTCCTGCCCCTATGAATGGAGAGGCGTTTCATATCTGCTAGCAAACAGAGTGAAGGGCACCTCAGGGCTGGCTCTGGTCAGAGGCCCTGTGGGAAGAGAATGCTCTGCCAGCATCTCTTTGTGACTGAACAGCTAACACCTCCTCTGCATTTTCAACGGTATGGCATCTCCATGCGTGGTGGTAAAGTTTTGAAGCTAAAGATGGCGACTATTAAAACACTGCTGTCCCCAGCACAACAGCAGAACCCTGGTAAAGCAGGTAAGAGACAATGTCTCAGGCATGTTTCCCAGCCTGCAGCAACAGTTCTGGTCTCTTTGTAACAGGGCAGAGAGGACAGGGGCCAACTTGCCAACAAGCTGTCAAGAGGAACTCTGTAAAGGGTCTGGGTAAAATAGGACATTCTTGGCATTCCTGAATTTGGGAGAAATAACCTAAAATAAAACCTGAACAAGAAACTTGAAAAACCGGCGCAGGGAATTAGGAAAGAGGCTTACTTGGCATGTGCACAGGTGTATTCAGTCAGACTTTTGAGAGAAGGGAGGAGTATGGTGGTTAAAGTGCTGTGGGACATGAGCCCCTTACCTAAATGCATACTCCTGGCCTCTGGAGATTTATTCCCTGTCGCTGAACGCCCTGGCTGTTCATTCCCACAACCACCGAGCCACTTCAGTCCTACCAGCACAGCCATTCAGAGAACGAAGTAGTGATCCAGGGCAAGGACTGATACAAATAAACTCTTTCACATTTTCCAGGCTGGTGTTAACCCAGATCATTTCAGACAAAAGAATCATCTGTACAGATGAACCTGGTGCCAGCAGCACCTAGCAGAAAAGTCAAAATAGAAAACAGATGCTACTTTTACAGGATATTGCAGTGAACTACCTGTGGCGCACAGATGACATTAGTTCATCAGACTGTGGGCTAGCCCTTTGAAGTTATTTATTTTGGCCTTGAGGATGCGCTCTTGAATATTTCCTTATAGCTTACTTGTCAGTTGGAGGGTGTGCACGGTATAATCTTGAAGATCAAGGCAAACAAAGCTATGACCTGTTTCATTGTGATCAATGTGAGAGAACTTCCTATAGGTAAGAACTTTAGCACAAAGACCTGAGCATGTGAGTTTTAGACAGGCAGAGTTTGTAAAAGTGATTAACCCATGGGACATCAAAGTTGAAGTTTGTATCTCCGTATCCTCATTTGCTAGAAATAAGTCTTAAGTGCAATAACAAAGCTATGTTGAACTAGCAGCGTTGCATTCCCCAAATACATCTTGTCAGCACTGGGAAAAAAATTGTACAGAAACTGTTGATACTGATAAAACATGTGCAATGCTTTTAAATATTTCTGCCCTACCCTTCCAAGCTCAGATGTTATAAAAATGCCTGTATGCAGGTGGCGTTGCAGATGGTGGCTTGAGCCAGGTTTGTGGCTCACTGTCACTGAAAGGGGAAGGTCTGGCTCCTGTTCCTCCCCTCCTTCCCGTTTTCCGCTCCTGTTTGCTCACATCTGCATGTTCACCCCACGCTTTAATTTGTGCTCACGTCAGTGCTGGCCACATTCTTCACCAAGTCAATTCAATTGACACAGAAAAAAGGAGATTGTTTTTCTTCAGATCTAGTGAGTTGAACTGGCAAAGCTCCTGGAACAGGGCTGGTGGGCAGAAGGGCGGAGTAGGAGGTGGGAGAAAAATTCCTATTTTGTCAGGAGTGAGCTTTTAGAGCTCAGCTGTCTTGTGCACCCTCGCCCTTAGTAAGTAAATGGGGTTGGTTCAGAAGCAACAGTGCAACCACCCACTGTTATTCTGCAGGTGAGTGAATTCTGAAACAGCAGTTTAATCCAGCACATTAGACTGGGAGTCAGGTGTCAGCACTCCAGTGCTGGCTTTGCCCATGGTCTGGTTTAAGACACTGGGAATATCACTTTGCCCCTTTCTGCCTGCTTCTGTGAATGGGAGTCATAGCACTGATCTCCCTTGTAAAGCGTGTTGGTGTCTTTAAATGAGAAGTGCTGCTATTACTTCCCCTGACCTTTATTTTCCCACGTGAATAATGTGTAAGTTACTAGTGGACCAACATATGTGCATGTCAATGTACATATTGTTGTGTTCCCTGAGGGATTATCACCTGAGACTGCCTGTATCCCAAGTCATGCATATCCTCTGACCCTATCGCATGAAAGTGGGGCCAGGACTTTGGCTTGGAAAAGGGTTCAGTAAGGTTGGCCTGAAAGACTCAGTAGCACGGGCTGTGGATGCACACCTCTCCCACAGGGACCAGAACCTGCTTGCTGCTCGACGTGAGCAGAGAGGAGAAAGGTGGCCTGGTGGTTCGGCTGCTGGCCTGGGACGTGGCTGCTAACCTGCACTGTGGTGGTCCGTCCTTCTTGTGCGACCTGGGGGAAGTCGTTTAGGGTCAGTCACTTCAGGCCTACATACTTTGTGAATACTTTCCCTCAATTTGCCCATGCTTCTCTTCCTTATCTGAAAATTGACTTTCAAGAATTTTCTGTCACACAGGAGCCATGTGGGAGATAAGTGGCCTGAGATAAATACCAAAGATAAGTTAAGACTATTATTTGAAAACCAATTGAATGGGAATTGAAAGTCTCTAGCCTTTAGGGAGCTAAAAAATATCTTAGTTTTCATTGCATCACTCTGGGTAATCAGTGTGCGATTTTAAGGCTTGAGGACCAAACAGTCTGTTTTATCTTTTATCATAGCTGTCTGAAAAGGCAAATATCTGTTTGGTTTAGTTCTTTTGTGATATGCTGTACATCCAAACTGGTCCTTAAATGATCTCTCTGCTTGACTGGAGGCCTCCAACTATTTGTTCTAACAGCTGGACCACTGCCTGCCACCATGATCTCCATTTGATGTACCTAAAAAGCTAAAAGGAAGTGGCTTGGTCAAAGTTGGACAAGAGTTTTGTGTCAGAGCCGGAAACAGAGTTCTAGGCTAACACTCCAGTTACCGATGGGGACGACTTCTCACCCCAGAGTCCCTCTGGATGTGACTTGGATACCTTCAGGCAAGTGTCTGACAGCCTGAGCTATGCTTACAAGTTTGGATTCAAAATCCTGGACATAGCAGCCCCTGAGTACATCTGTCAGAGCTGCATGGCCACTTTTGTCCAGGTACCCTAAAGTGATGACAGGAAAAACAAGGAAGAGGAAGGGAACATATCAGCTGTGGATATGTAGCATCTTTTTGATATTCTTCTTTCAGATGCAAAGAGAGCAAGCACAAATAAATGTTATTCCAATGTGCAACACTGGAAAGCACACGGTGATGGTCATGGAAATAAACAAATACACAGCCTACATAAACTACACAGTGTAGTACAACACCCATCTAAAGCTTTCTGGTTGTGGAGAACATATCTGGTCCCAGATTTATTGCTTTTGAGGCAATGGACTCTAATAAGACCACAACAACCAGCTTGCTGGAAAAGTCAGCTAGATACAAACAGTATATGCTGATGATTATACCATAAATAACTCAATCAATAATCAGCTGCACATCTTGTACATGCCAGTTGTAAAATATAATCATCAGAAGAGCAAGCACTGCTCTCAGAGAGAGCTGCCTGATAATATGAAAGCAGACTGGCCTTGAAAAAGGATTCACAGTCTGCTGCTTTGGTTAAAGTAGACACGCTCTGCCTCTCTGTTACTGCTTCTTGTTTTCATTTCCCATAACTTACAGCAGGGAGATGGTAGAAAGAAAAAAAAAAGACAGGCGAAGAAACTCATCCTTACTTCCATTCCTCATATCCCTGCTTTGGGCTGCTGTGAAGCTGTAGGGAGTTGGGAGCTGTAAAGTCCTACCAAGTGCTTCTACAAGCAATGTGCGTGGGGGAGAAGTCCTCTGCATCTTCTGACCCTTTCCCAGCCATATGAATGAGGTAGAACTAATTTTAAGAATATAAGGTAAAGATGAAAATACTGTTCTGATTCTGTTTCTCTGAGCAAATCCTTGACCCTGTACAATGGAATTTAGGCAGTAGCTATGAGTACATGTTTTTTTGCAGGTGTTAACGTGAGAGCTGGTGTGTGTGCCCACAGAAAAGCATGTGAGGATTAGAAGCAGATTCTAGACTGAACTCAGGATTTCTGGCTCTGGACTAATAGATAGAGAGGGAGGAATTGACTTCTACTTGTGGAAAAATATAACTCCCCCCAGCAAAATGAACATCTTGTAGAAAACACCTTCACTGCAATGCTTACATATTTTAATCTTTATTTTTTCCCTTTTCTTCATCTCAGTTTTCACAGGTCAAAGGCTTAAAACAGCTGAAATGTCTGAGGATTTCAATTTGAGCTTAGGTCCCCGGGGCTTCTTCCTGCTCAGACGCAGAGCGGTCATGCACATCCCGCACGGCGCCATCATCTCTCCCTCAGCAGACAAAAAGGGCAAGTAAGCTTATTTGATAGATCTGCCATTTATATCAGTTATGAGCCAATTCAATTTTTCTTCTAGGCTCTGTCAAAATCAGCCCCAGACATATATCTCTGTGTGTGGGCGTGCGTGTGAGCACCAGTGCGTGCACGTGTGTTATTTACAGAAGACAAAAGTGGAGCTGTACTCACCCGGGATCCTGTTGAGCGTCACCCAGAAGTGCTCGTCGGGGCTGTAGGTGTCCTCAGACCACGTCAACAGGTCGATGGCGCGCTGGTCCCGCATCACAAACTCCACGAAGGGCCGGGTGACGGCCACGTACGCAGACCCGAAGTAGAGGGTGATGTTGTGGGGCGGAGGCGCCTTGCGCACGAATGTCCACAGCATGAAAGAAAAGAAAGAGTATAGCTGCTCCCTGTGCACGTATCTGGTGCGTGCGGAGATGTGGGGGGGCTGCAAAACCCCGGGGGTGACATTCTTCCCCCTGAGGCCCTTCAGCAGCCGGACGATCTCCAGGTTGGTCTTCAAGGGGAAGTCCTGGCCGCAGGCGTTGAGCAGGTGCCCCGCCGTAGACCACCCGCTCCGCCTGCGAGGCCAGGAAGGCGTTGGGGAAGCAGCCGACCAGGCGCCGCACGGCCTGCCGGAACGGGGCCGGCGCCTTGGCATCCACGTGGACGCAGCAGACATTCTGGGGCATGTAGACCGCCCTGAAGAGCCGCTCGAAGGTCTCGAACTCCTTGTGCAGGGTCATGATGTAGGCGACGGGGAAGGCGGCCTCCTCAGCCGAGAGCGCGCGGGTGATGTAGCGGTTCTGCATTATGTACTCTGTGCAACTGGATCCTCCGAATGATGTTTTTAAAGTGTTTTCCTTCAGAAAGGGCGCCTTATCTTCAGTGAGTGCTTTACAGGCTTCTGCTAAAGTTGAACTCACCGAGAAGTTCAGCCTCCTAAGAGACTTCTGTGCATGCAAATTAACAGCATAGAAAACAAATGGAAGTGAAGCGCTGAGAACCAGGACAGCGAAGAAGCAGTATCTGAGTCTGTTCATTGCTGCCCAGAGAAAGAATCTCACTTGAAATGTTGTGAAGAGGTCAGATCAGACACCACAAAGCTTGTTTTGCTGGCTGCACTTCCTTCCTGCTAGAGAACGCATGCGTCCATCTGATGCATAGTATGCAGCTGCTATCCTTACTTCCAATATTAATGTTTCATAGTCATCATTGATGTGGAAGCAGCATAAGCAGCGAACACCTTGCAAATGGAAGCTGCTCTACAGCACCCTGAAGATGAAACAAACACATTGCATAATTACTGGCTTGGCAGTGAACGGCTGGCACTACCTGTTTCATGGTGTCCCTGAATTCAGTCTATGGGTATGCTCTTAACTACTCCCTCCCCACTCTCCCTGCAGGTATGGTGTAGGTGTAAAATTTCTTCTGTGTGCGTGTTGTGACAGGAAAACATATCTACCTCTTGTATCGTTCTATTCTTTTACTTACTGGAACTGTTTATGAACCTCTCAAGAGTATCAGTCATCACTGCTTCAGAATTATGAAAGGCTTTTTCAGCACACCATGTTACCGTATAAGACCACCAACACTGACATATAAGAAGCAGGAGATTCTTTTTTACCCGTGTGTAGAATTATATCAGAGCCAGCAGGTTTTTGCAGCAATGTTTTCTTCATTTGTAAATTTGAAATCTGCCAAATAGTTTCTGCTAGGTGTCATGGATGAGTTGTGATGAGCTCTGGGCTTACATCCATCACAAGGAACTAGGTTAGCAAAAGCTGCAACATAAAACTGCTTCATGTAACCTTGGGCTTTCTGATGAGACATGCGTGTTTCTAAGAGCCACACATGCATTTGGTATAACAACATGCTTAAGCAATGAGAGCTTGTAGCATGGCTCTGATTGAAGTGAAATACTTGGTAACTCTTTCTCTTCCAACTGTGAGCCTGTTCACACGAGTCTCTGGCACATTTGGGGCACATAAACGTTTTCCAGCATCATGTCCTTTCACTCCAAGACAAAGTAATGTTGAGGCGATATCAGATGATCTGAGATTATGCAAAAAATGTATTGAATGGGCAGCCCAGCGTGCTACAGAGGCAGAAATACCATCATCTACCTTCCAACTCATGCAGACAAGCTACCTCAGACACAGGTGACGTGCGGAAAACAGACTCCACAATCTGTCAGATTGTAAAGTAGGCATGTTTATTCGGCACCGGGCGGCACAGGGGTAGTCCCACCAAAGTCGTGAGCACCAGACAGTAACTTGCCTCTTCAATTTATACAGTCAAGTATTACATATTCACCAGATTTACCAATCCACATCTACCACTTGCGCAATGCCTGCTGGTGGTGGTCGTTGGGGGTCCCAAGATGAAAGCCCATCCTCTTCATCACAGTGTTCACTGGTTGACCTTTGTTTCTGCGCAAACACAGTTCTCTTCTCGGTCCCATCCAAACTGCAAGGTCAGTCTTAGCTGGTTCTAGGTGACTCCCCAGCCCCTATCAGGAACTACCCCCTTTGTAAGGAAATGTAAGACTCTCTGCCTCAGTTAATTTACACAATAGATAAGCACTATCAGTTCTCTGCTCAGCAACTATCAGGCAGTACTGCTTTTACTCAATTCCGTTACTATTAGGCAAGGCTGCTTCTACTAAAATCCCTTTAACCCCTTCCTTCACAGGCAGGTCCCTCCCAGAAGCTGCACTTTCCTCCCATCCTCACCCCAGACAGTCTCCAGGAGTCTGCTCAAACAGGTTGAAGGCTGCAGGTGGTGGCTTCAGCCCAGTAGGTACAGTCACAAGCTGTAACAAGGAGAGCAGCACTGGAGAAACTTTCTAAGGACTTGTAGCCAGATTATACCCAAAGTGGGGCACTGGTGCAGGATGCAGGACAGACCTGGCAGTCAGACTTACGCAGTGACAGCAAGCAGCAGAGCAGCTCCTCACCGGGGAGTCAGCAGAGACAGGTAAGGACAGCCGTGGTCACGCTGGAGATCCAGTGCAGCCTTCTGCGTGAACACCAGCACCTTCAGAAGGAGGACAACTCCGATGGAGCCAAGAGGCTGGAACAGAGTGGTGCAAAGTCCCAGGGAGTAATGGAGACTTGCCTGATGCTGCTGAGAAGTCATCTGGAAAACACTGCCACAGCCCAACAGTACAGCTTGTTAAAAGGGGATTCAGAGAGACGTGCAGTTGCTGAGCTGAGTCCAAGCCCAGCAAAAAAATACACAGCAAACACAACCGTGAAGGGAAAACATGTCCCAGCTCAGTGACTCGTGAATGCTGCCCTGAGGTGCACAGACCTGCCCAGACTGCTTCAAACCACTGCTGCTTCCTAACTTGATTGTTACAGTGAAATACATCCAGGAAAGAACAACTCTCACCTGCCCGACACCTCAGTAACGTGGACCTCCGTGACCACAGGTCAGCAGCCTCTTGCACTCCCCTGTGCACTCCGTAGACCATTGAGCTCAACATCTTCCCACCTCCTCACTGGGACAGCTGGCTGCAAGACCATTTCTTTCCCTGTGCCGTGGTCCTAACATGAGACCTCCATCCTTTTCTTTTAAGAACTTAATATATATATGTTTATACGTGTGTGTGTGTGTGTGTGTGTACAGAGACTGTTTTCTCTTAGGTGTTGAAGTTTGCATTACTACTATGGTCTGCAGCAAACGAGTAAGCTACATGCAGAAAACAAGAGATAGGCCTGCTCATCATAGGAGTGCAATGCAAGATTTAACTTTTCTTTGGGGTTGTTTTTTTCTTACTGTGAGAGAGACCGAGAAGCTGTCAGACACCGGCAAGAGTCTTGTCTCAACCGACCAGGCAGGCAGCCGCAAGCAGCCCACACAGGAGGTGCTCTGCGGAGGCAGGGCAGTGAACTGTTTCTGAGAGGCTTTCTAGCAGCTGCATGTTACCGAGAAACCATCTAGCAGTTGTGCCTCAGAAGCCTCACCACAAATTAGACGAGTTAAATAGGATGGCAGGACTCTAGCGACCCACCCCTCATGCTCCCCCCTCCTCCCCCCTCCAAGACAAAGTAATGTTGAGGCGATATCAGATGATCTGAGATTATGCAAAAAATGTATTGAATGGGCAGCCCAGCGTGCTACAGAGGCAGAAATACCATCATCTACCTTCCAACTCATGCAGACAAGCTACCTCAGACACAGGTGACGTGCGGAAAACAGACTCCACAATCTGTCAGATTGTAAAGTAGGCATGTTTATTCGGCACCGGGCGGCACAGGGGTAGTCCCACCAAAGTCGTGAGCACCAGACAGTAACTTGCCTCTTCAATTTATACAGTCAAGTATTACATATTCACCAGATTTCCCAATCCACCTATACATATGCATGACCCAACCACGCTTGCGCAATGCCTGCTGGTGGTGGTCGTTGGGGGTCCCAAGATGAAAGCCCATCCTCTTCATCACAGTGTTCACTGGTTGACCTTTGTTTCTGCGCAAACACAGTTCTCTTCTGGCTCCCATCCAAACTGCAAGGTCAGTCTTAGCTGGTTCTAGGTGACTCCCCAGCCCCTATCAGGAACTACCCCCTTTGTAAGGAAATGTAAGACTCTCTGCCTCAGTTAATTTACACAATAGATAAGCACTATCAGTTCTCTGCTCAGCAACTATCAGGCAGTACTGCTTTTACTCAATTCCGTTACTATTAGGCAAGGCTGCTTCTACTAAAATCCCTTTAACCCCTTCCTTCACAGGCAGGTCCCTCCCAGAAGCTGCACTTTCCTCCCATCCTCACCCCAGACAGTCTCCAGGAGTCTGCTCAAACAGGTTGAAGGCTGCAGGTGGTGGCTTCAGCCCAGTAGGTACAGTCACAAGCTGTAACAAGGAGAGCAGCACTGGAGAAACTTTCTAAGGACTTGTAGCCAGATTATACCCAAAGTGGGGCACTGGTGCAGGATGCAGGACAGACCTGGCAGTCAGACTTACGCAGTGACAGCAAGCAGCAGAGCAGCTCCTCACCGGGGAGTCAGCAGAGACAGGTAAGGACAGCCGTGGTCACGCTGGAGATCCAGTGCAGCCTTCTGCGTGAACACCAGCACCTTCAGAAGGAGGACAACTCCGATGGAGCCAAGAGGCTGGAACAGAGTGGTGCAAAGTCCCAGGGAGTAATGGAGACTTGCCTGATGCTGCTGAGAAGTCATCTGGAAAACACTGCCACAGCCCAACAGTACAGCTTGTTAAAAGGGGATTCAGAGAGACGTGCAGTTGCTGAGCTGAGTCCAAGCCCAGCAAAAAAATACACAGCAAACACAACCGTGAAGGGAAAACATGTCCCAGCTCAGTGACTCGTGAATGCTGCCCTGAGGTGCACAGACCTGCCCAGACTGCTTCAAACCACTGCTGCTTCCTAACTTGATTGTTACAGTGAAATACATCCAGGAAAGAACAACTCTCACCTGCCCGACACCTCAGTAACGTGGACCTCCGTGACCACAGGTCAGCAGCCTCTTGCACTCCCCTGTGCACTCCGTAGACCATTGAGCTCAACATCTTCCCACCTCCTCACTGGGACAGCTGGCTGCAAGACCATTTCTTTCCCTGTGCCGTGGTCCTAACATGAGACCTCCATCCTTTTCTTTTAAGAACTTAATATATATATGTTTATACGTGTGTGTGTGTGTGTGTGTGTACAGAGACTGTTTTCTCTTAGGTGTTGAAGTTTGCATTACTACTATGGTCTGCAGCAAACGAGTAAGCTACATGCAGAAAACAAGAGATAGGCCTGCTCATCATAGGAGTGCAATGCAAGATTTAACTTTTCTTTGGGGTTGTTTTTTTCTTACTGTGAGAGAGACCGAGAAGCTGTCAGACACCGGCAAGAGTCTTGTCTCAACCGACCAGGCAGGCAGCCGCAAGCAGCCCACACAGGAGGTGCTCTGCGGAGGCAGGGCAGTGAACTGTTTCTGAGAGGCTTTCTAGCAGCTGCATGTTACCGAGAAACCATCTAGCAGTTGTGCCTCAGAAGCCTCACCACAAATTAGACGAGTTAAATAGGATGG